ACTTACTTTGGCATTTTTAGAGGCCAACATACATAATACCCATTTAGAGTGAGTCTTGATATTAATTTTATTTGGTATACTCTTTTTCGATGAATCTATGACAATTCTTTCTGTGAGCAAATTACTTATTAATTCTATCGTAATGGAGCTTACGACGACATTTTTATAGGTCGATATACATACCGTCTATTTTAGAGTAAGTCAGTCTTGATGTTATTTTAACAAATATTTTTTGTTCTCCTTTTTGCTTTAATGCTGGTTTCTTAGTAGATTGTGGAGATAAAACGTTAAGGCATATTCTTGGACCTATATCATTTCTGTTTTCGAGTAGATTTAAGATCTATACTTTGAAACAAGCTTCAGGATTGTACTATCGTCAAAATACATAAAATCTATGCATGGATCTTATGCAGTGTAATTTTTTGGTCAAAATACTAGAATAGTAGGTGTAGCTGTCTACTGCTCGATCGTTACGACAATCACCATAACTAAACAATCTACTGTTGCTCGTTTTAATGCCAAATTGGATACGGGAAGTAGAAATGTAAATAGCTCAGGTCTAGTACTGAACAGACAATCATTACGGTGAACAGTTTTCCTATTTTACTCCACTATATAATTAAGATGGATTTCATTGGCTCAAAATCAGTCGCCAAATCAATACAAAATACAGATTCAGCTAGCTTGGTAGACTATTTTCCTAGTGAGAAAGTGTATTACAGAATAAAAGGCCACCAGAAGGGCTATAGAGTGTATGAAAGATATACAGGATGATCTATCTCTAAAACAGAAAAGTAATTTTACAGTAATTAGCAGGTGTTGAGATATATTAGAACGCTTATTGATGAGTGGAAATTCTTCATATAGAATACGGCCTTCACTTGTAGAGTAAGTTAGAGGGGAAGTTACTTTGATCTCGAATACGCGTACAATTTCAAAAATATTGCCCAGTATCCATCATTAACCAAGTTATTCCTTCCGCACCGGTAGTTGATTCATGTCTTGACCATCTGATTAAGCACGTATTGATAGTTTTGTGGGAGATCATTTTAGACGTCTTCTTTCAGATGACAGATTCACGCTTTTAATTTCATTCAGCCTTTTCTATCATCCGTCTTGGTTTTCTCTGCCAGCACATTGATATCATTTCTCATTTCCTACTTTATTATCTAGGCTAAAAATAAGAGTAGGAAATGATACTAACTAAGTTCTATATCTTTGGGAGTAGATAGCTGCTATTCATTATCTCTTAGGATTCCTCATTTAGTACTTATTCAGTTGATTAAAATATCTTTTTGTTCATTAATATCCCGACTAATTTCATATATAAAAGATAATGAATAGGATTGGAAAGAAAAATCGAACAGCTGGCAGGGCTATATTTTATAGTAAAAATAGATCACACGATTGCTCCCAAAATAGTAATGACTCCAGTTGACAATATTTTTAAACAGATGAAGACAATAGCAAGTTATTTTTACATCCTGCCTGATTGAATATTGCTATTGAAAGAAGTTACTAGACATCAGGTTTGAGAAGTTACATACTGAAAAGGAATAATCATAAATACGCAATTAGCTTTCTTAATGCTATATTTTGATTAAACGATTGTATCAACGGCACATAACCCTTTACTGATACATAAAGACTGGAACAAGCTGTAATTACTAAATATTCGCTTGAATACTCTTTATTTTTGACATTTACGGCACATTTTCCAGTTGCTCATGCCTGTAAGCGCATGGATAACGTTAACCATGTTGTAAGTTGATGATAGTATACGCGTATATGTAAATAAATGGATTTCTATCTATTAGAATGGCTAAGCGATAGTTTAATAAAATGAAATAGCTTATCCTAATTCACCTGCTAATTTTTTTGGTGAATGGTTTCAATGTATAAAAACTTGATTAGCGGTTGCTCTATGCTTTCTCTGTCGATTATATTTAAGGTTTTGTTTTACGTAATCGCGTATCCTAATGCTCTATACTTTATCTTATATTATTATCCTGACATCCTTCATTTCTTCTCACTTTGTAAAGAAATACATCAACTTGAAGTCATATATGTCTAAAATTACTGGTATTCTGTATCGCTACATTACGATATTTTGATACGTATTCGTTGCCAAAAAAGTGGTACGGTGATGAGCCAAATAAATAAATTAAGGCTGTAATGAGTATATTTTTTTTTGTATGACGGTTAGCCATGCTTTAAATGTACCGCTATCTACCCAACTTCGATCCTCTTTAAATTCTTTTTCCCGTCGTTGATGTATTTACACGTTTGAATAGTAATTTACAGGTCGATCATGTATTCCATGCTCATATCATGTACGTTATATTATGTTTTTCATAAGTTCTGCAAAAGGTAAGAAAATGCTTAAGCAAAGCATTAGAATATCCTTGAGTAGTAAGTTTGTATCAATTTTAAATTTCTTCTATTCGAGATACCGATACTAAAACGAATCAACAATAGGACTAATGTGTTGACTTAATCTTTCGACGTAAGCAAAATATTCCATGACAGTATTGGTTACTATTTTAAACTGTAACTACTATTATTATCACGTTGCTAATGCTGGGTTTTCTAGCTTGTTATGGGTAATAAGTGGATTATACGCAGTTCTAATCGGGTTTAGTGATGGTCTATCACTTTGTGTAATGATTTCTGTTATTAAAACAATATCTGAAAGATTTTAACCAAGTGCCAATGTGTAACCAAGATTGGCTCCATAAATTCCTTACCAAGACTAAAAAGTCTTCCTTACGAGTAGCTATAGCTATTTCTACCGTATATCAGTTATTTTAATCACTAATATGTAGCCGTCTAGTGGAATTTTCATATCTCATTGCGATATAGTGTCGCCAAAACCTTATAAGCAAAAGCAGAAGTTCCTGTAAAACTTCACTTTACCAATGACATCAAATTGGTTCTATTAATAATATAAACGAATAACTAACACTGCACGTCTTCTTACCATCTAATAATACTAAACTTAAGCTAATTTAAGAGTTGCATTGAGTAGTGCACGTATGGTTGTGACAGTGTTATATACTGTATCAGAGTAGAAATATTCATGTTAGATAATTTTTTTTAGCCTATCCTCATTTAGTTAATTTCTAATTTGGATATATTGTGTTTTAATATAACACTGGCTTAATGTGACAGTGACATATATACATATACTGAAATTAATAGTTACATTAAGGAATGCGAATTATCTACTTACAGTTCTAATCATTGTGATTGTAACTTATAGTAGATTGTAAATTATCTTGGAAATGTTCCGTGATAGGAAATGTCGCAATCTGATTATTCTGTATTAGGCATTAGATGTCTATGATCGTAGATACAATTGTTTGCATTAGGGAGCAGTAGCTAAAATTAGTATCTAATTCAGTGAATGATTCCAAAGTGTATCGTACTAACTATTGCAGAAGAGTATATAAACGCAATATATCGTGTAATAACGTTAATTCTTAAAGTTAGTATTTAACGTATAATACGAGGCGTCTAGTCTTTGCGTAGTCTGCTAGTAAAGCAAAAGTGTTCCTGATAGTGCAGATATCGTTCCTTGATATGTGGCTCAAGGAATTGGCATATTGATCGTACTTTACGTTATCTGGTTACGAAGCTGTTTGTGATAATGGTATACTTTTATAACCGAGAGTTTATCCTCGATCTTTATTATACGGTAGCTTTCAAATAGTGATCACAAATCAGCTTTAATCAGTCGAAATTTTTCTAAATTTTTTTTTGTAATTTGGAACCACCATCGTTAATCACATGTTGCCATATTTCCTTTGAAAGGAAAGATCGGTAAGAATATTGCATTCGATTTCATTTCAAGTTGAAATGATTGAAACAGAGTTAATTTACTAACAGTTAAAGCGCTAGTATAGCAATAGTACAACATCTTGGGGCGATAAAGAACACCGATTTGAAATCTGTTATTCTTATTTAGAGCAGCCATTGTGCAACCATTGACTAAAGAAAGGTTTATGTTGATACAAATAATAAATTAGCGGGTCTCATTCAAATACTTCTTCATTAATTAGGTAGTTTTTCTTTAAGATTTCGCTACAGATGCGTAATCTCTTTTGTTTCTCTGTTGTCCAAATTAGAATAGTGCGAATCTCCATTAGTAATCATTGCGGGCATTTCTTCAGTTTAATAATAAGTGCACTGTCTATTCTAATATTTTTTTGATATCATTTTACAAAGCACAGTCAAAAGTCTAGACAACTGGCCGTGTGAGATTTTATTAATTTCCTATTTTGTACACTGACAGCAGGCATTATGTAAGATAATAAAATTATCCATGTGCCTTGTATTGAATGAGATCTTGCAATGTGCTAGGGTAGTATAAAGGAACAAACACTGCATATAAATTTTATAATTAAGTACGGTATTATGCGATAAAGAATGATCAGAAAATGAACATTCATGTTATTGACTTTTAGAAATTTGCTTAATGATAATACTCCATAATTTACAATGCAACAGAGAACCAATACTCTTTCTAGTTATAATAATTCTTATTTGGCCCAATATCTTCTGATTCCATTTTTATTTATACTTTATTATATTGTCACACTTTATAGAGAAGGAAATTTTAGAATAGCTTCCATTCACAATTGTTATATGATGAGATGCGGTTTTCACACGTAGGATTCGATGTTGAAACTCCTAGTTGATTATAGTAACAATGGCTTACTTACGATGCCCATTTGATAATTTTTATGCTAAGTAAGGCATTAAATACTAACAAATGTAATGCTCTCAACACTATTTGTAATCTTTAGCCATTTTTAATGTAATCAGTAAGGGAATCCTCTTCATCTTATCGTCTTGCATAACTATTATAATTTATATAAAATGTAGCTGTAATCTGCTTATGACTATCGAATCAATTTTATATGAATGATACTTTTCTAAATTCATGTTATTCTACCTTATTAGTATAAACAGATCAGATGCCGAATCTATTTAAGTGGATGACTAGGTCAGCAACTCGCAGTAAAAGCCAGCAGCATTCCTTCGTGGAACAAATTGCTGAAAAATTTAATGGAGTTCGTAAGTATTGCGTGCTTATCTCTAGTAAAAGTTAGTTCTATTCTGTATTGATCTAAAAGATGATGTCTTATTATGTAAATGTTATGATAAGTAGTGTAAGATTATTTTATGGAAAAATGAATCTTTCCTTTATAAATATTGTAATCAATTCATACTTTTCGAAAATATTTTGTCGGGATGGTTTGTATTTCGTAAATTAATTTTATCCGTGTATGTGTGTAATGTATTTAATAGTTCATTGGCACTATTAATCTTTGTGTAATATTGATTAGTGCAACTTACCCTTTACTGCATGCAATGAAGTGTTATATGGACTAGGCTACGCTAGTTTTATATTACATTATTTTGTGTAGACTCATACCAATATCACAAATCTCACTCTAAAGTATTCTAAATTAAACTAGCAATTAATCATATGTGATAAGATAAATTGTACCCTAGATTCCTAAAATTACTAAATCAATAATATTAAAATCGCAGTTTTGGGTATAAATTATATCTTTCTACGGCATGCAGAACATAACTTAAAAAATCCACTACGACAGATCTGTAAATTAAATTAGAACCTGCATTGAAACGTTTCGGGTACATAAAGTATTCGATAATAAAGCAACATAACTGCTGATTTATTTTATGATTAAAAATTCGCTACCAGATTTATCATAATTGAAGCATGAATACTATACTAATATATCGCCTAAATTGCAATCTTATATAATTTTTAACAAAAAAATATTCCTGGCAGATATCGTTCGATTCTGACCCTAGTACAGTAGTCAAATTCACAATATCCTTAACCTTCATAACAGATTTATGTTATTTTGCATTATTTGACGTATAAAGTAAGAATATTCAATTTTGCAAGTTTTACAACGCAGGAGTTTTCATTGCATAATATGATCGTAATTGGAGCTCTATTAACATTGCAATTGTGTTGGCATTGCAGACAGTAACTTCGTATTGGGAAGTACTAAAGAAAATAATCCAATTGTCTACTGTACGGATGGATTCTGTGAATTAACTCAATATAATCCGCAAGAAATCATTCGACGAAATGGAAATTGCAATTTTCTGTATGGGGTTAAAACTCCACAGGATCATATTGACGCAATCCGGACAGCACTGGACGAACAGACTGAATTTCAAGTTAAAACTATCTTTTATAAAAAGGACGGTATGTTTCTATTTCTTTATGGCAGGGTGGTAATGATATCATAAGCATGGAAATTCAACTCTGCATTAATGATTTGATAAGTGTAAACAACTTTCATTCTAGGATCGCCATTCGACTGTTTATTCGATATTTTACCTATTAAGAACGATGATGATAAAGTAGTCATGTTTGTTGCCTCTCATAAAGATTTATTAAATCAATCATTTGATGAATCAGGTAGGAAAGAGTATATCTATATGCTAAATGCATTTAAGATAATTAGAATTAGATTGTGCCAAATAAATAGGAACATTTCTCAGATTAATAGCGTGATTTTATTTTACAGTAAATGGCACTCTGTAGCATTTTAAAGCATTTTATAATAAAGCGCATAAAATATTCCGGTTAATTACGATATCTTATTATTTTCCTATAAAATACTAGATGGAGAGCTAAATAAGAATAATAGAGAATCAAAGCGTACCGTTAGTACCCTACGTCGAAGAAACAGTCGGGCTGTCCTTTATCACCTTTCTGAACAACTTTCATTTAATGGACAGACTAAAACGGAAACGGATAAAATAACTGAAGTAAGGCTTAATGTTTGATGATTATCTTCACTTTTAAGTTGGATAACCCATATGCAACAATGCTATATTTTTAATAATATCTGATAATGTAAAATAGAAGATTAAGAAATAAAAATGAATGGTGAATCTTACACATTCCCAACAATTCGGAGATGGCAAATTTTAAGTATTTTCTTTGTTATCTTTCATTAGAGACTAGTTTTAACCGCGAAGAATGCTAATGATGTAAAAGTTAAGCACGTTCAAAGGCCTATTTTCCTAATACTACATTATAGTCGATTAAAATTAGCTTGGGACTGGAGTATCATCGCCTTGACATTTTTTATTGCAATTATGGTTCCGCTTTTCGTCGCATTTAAAATCTATAGTTTACCGGTAGTCATCCTACCTCAAATATGCTTCATTATAGATATTCTACTTAATTTTCGAACTACTTATATCGATAGTCATGGCCATATTGTATATCAAAGTAAAAGAATAGCCGCTAATTATATGAAAACTTGGCTCATTATCGATCTTACGGCCTCTATCCCGTTAGAACTTATTATCGACTACGAAAATGCATCGCTATCTCTTCCGGTGAGTGGCTGTATAGAGCAAATTGAGATAATTCATTAAAGATTTTATTACTGTTAATTACCAAGCTTAGCCTGCACAAGTTCGACTCATAGTCTAGTAAAGGTCTAAAATGGCATTCAAATGTCAGTTATGCCATATCTTCCCAATCACATTAATAAAATAGTATAGTCTATAGGCCTTTATATAGTATTTAAATCATTCACTGCGCTACATACGGTATTAGATTTGTCTCGATTTTGCTTTTTCAAATTGTATATTTTTTTGTCTAATTTTGAATCATTGTCTTGACAGATTCGATGCATAGCCTTATTGAAATTGCTTCGACTCCTCCATCTAATTCACTTTATGGCCTATTGCGATCGTAAATTCGAATATAACGCTGCAGTTTTAGCCTTGCTATTACTATCGTTTGCAACATTAGCTCATTGGCTTGCATGTATCTGGTATATTATTGGAAATCAAGAGCTTATGAATAATCAGCGCCTTGGTTGGTTATACGAGCTATCGTTATCGCTCAATGAACCGTATTATAACAGTACATCGGGTGGACCATCGCTGCAGGATAAATATGTTACCGCATTATATTTTACTTTAAGCAGTCTTACTACGGTGGGATTTGGCAATGTTTCTGGTAATACCACAGCGGAGAAAGTGTTTGCCGTCATAACTATGATTATTGGATGTAAGCTATTAGATTATCCCGTAGCAAATGTTCATCTTAGATGTTATGCTGATATTTTCGATATCAATTACGCTAATTTTTTCTTTCTTATTCATATAGCTTTGATGTATGCAGTAATATTTGGTAATGTAACTGCAATTATTCAGCGAATCTATTCAGCTAGATCGAAATTTCGATCGCGAATGTATGATATCCGGCAGTTTTGTCATGCTTATCATTTGCCAAAGCAGTTAAAATATCGCTTAGAGGACTTTACTTACACCGATTGGTCCGTCACTAATGGCATTAACAAAGAAGAGGTAAAAATCGATTCGGCTTTTTATATACTTAGTTTTGAATTATGTGCTCTAAAATCGCTACATTCTGAAATACAGTATTTAATTTTGTTTATTTTTGTTTTTGGGTTGCTATCAGATAGATAGAATGATTAAGTAATTTTTTATTTTTGTATATCAATTTTTAAACGCACCAAAATTGAATTATCTGCCAAGTTTTGCAGACGTAGAATTAATTTGATCCCATGTTCTATCAATTAGGTTTTAAAAACATTACCTGTTGAGCTGCAAACTGATATCTGCCAGTACTTACATCGAGAATTTCTTGGCTTGTCGCTTTTCCAATCAGTCAGCAATGGCTGTATGAGAAATCTTTCCAGCCGAATTCAAACAAGTTACTGTGCTCCAAGTGAGATTGTCATCTATGAAGGAGAGTTGTATCATCCTCTATATTTTGTCGCTAGTGGAACACTGCAGGTCTTTCGAAATGATGTTGTCGTAGCGATATTAGGTACGTCAAATTATTCATGAATTGTGCCGACTTAAGCCTTTCGGTGAATCAAATTACCGTTTCACCTATCGTTGTCAATTAGCTATGGAATGTAAAAATTAACGATTCAGCTAAAAATATTGCTGTAGTACGTTAATTAAAGAGTGAAAGAGTATGATTGCTCTGCATTAATTTCTGCCATCTGTGTTCAGATATCGCTCCTTTAACTGTATATGGTTGTATACCTCAGGCTACAGTAATATTGACGTTGTATGAAATATGAGTTTTGATATACCGGCGTTATCAATAATAACATATTCACGGAAATTAATATTACCGTATTATATTTACAGCACGAATTCAGTCTTCAAATTTGATGCCAGTAGATGTAAGATTTTCACCTAGATGTACTGAGTGCATATTTGCAACATGTTTTACGAAATGAATCGGCTAGATTATGCTTTCCATCATATAGTGGTCATTCGATCGAAATCGGCCATTTATACATTTAAATTAATGTTCATCAAGGCCGCATCGTAGATTGTATCTGAATTGTATAAGTTTTCGCCTTATTCTATTTCTTATTTGATTAATTAGGTCACGGTGATTTAATTGGGGAATTCCCACTTCAAAGTACAAGTTCCCATCTTCCAAAGTCTACTGGAACCGTTAAGGCCTTGACATATTGTGATTTACGCTACATTAATCATTTCGATTTAAAACAAGTTACTGAATCCTATCCTGAACTTGGACAAGTGCTACAAAATGAGTGGAATTTGGCATATAATTTGGGAGAAGATGATGTACCGGTGAGCAAATATAAATAAATATGAATACCGAAATTGAATTACTAGCCTTGAAGATGCTGATCAGTTTGTGCTACCAAGTAATAGTATTTCAAGCTATAGCATGGAGTTGAGCTACAATGGATGATGTTCGTAGTTAAGATTGCAAGATGCACAGTTATCTATTCATGATAGATGTACATAATCCTTAGTAGAAGGATTAATTTATGTCATAAGTTAGTACGAACCGAAAGTTCTCGTCACATTATTTTTCAAATATTTTGCCACTAGCATCTCAAAATCTCAAGCAAATAGACTATATATATCTTTTCTTATTCGATAAACTTCGTAACATTAATACTATCTTAGAGAGAGACAATATGCGAGTTATACAAGTACTATAATTCTATCCTCAAAAATTTTTGTAAGATTTTCTCTATCCTTACCTAGACATTATAAATAGCTATAATGAAATTTCATCCGATATTTGCGTCAATTTTAAAGTCTTAACCCAAATATATACGTATTCTATGATGTTAACATGTTTGTAATTAGTTTCAAACGTTCATATATTATATTTTTTCCAATAAATGCTTTATACTAATAACTATCTTTGCGCAAATAGTTGACCATACCTAAGCAATATAACAATAATGATCCAGATGATGGTCGCCGAATGCCTTCTACGCCTAGATCTGCAAGTTTTAAAAGAATGTCATGGAGAAAGAAAAAACAGTGGAGAAGTGTAGGTAGCATTGGGGAAGATTCCATGGTACAGCCAGCAGAGAAACATGATGATGGCTCTAGCGATGAAGGTAAGACATTGAAGTATGCCTATTTTTTCCAGAATGCAAAGACCTACGTATGTATCTGCATGGATAGGAAAGCAGTAGAAGCTACGATAAACACAATTTATTTTACGGCTTGCATGTAGAATGAAATATTCTATTATCGTACGCTTATACCAATTGCTCTGCTTGGATGCCTATATTATCCATGCTATTTAATTTAATATTTTTAAATTAATAGAAGTGAATAAAAATAATTTAATTAGTCGAAAGCTATACCGTAGTAAAGTAGCACTAACATAATCGTATATATAAGATTGAATATCAATTGGCGGTAATAATTTATTATGGTACTTAAGGAGCATTTATAAAATTAATTACACTTTTATAACTAGTTTCCTATTTACTCCGATCCTATCACCAGTTACGAGGTTACTGTATCGTGATAGAAAGTTTAAATTCGATTGCATTTCTTAAATGATTTTATTCAAATGCTAACGCCATAGATACGAATTTTGATTGCATGTAGTGTTTGAGAAGATATTAAATATTAAATTTTACTATCTAGATAATCACAACGAGAAAAATGCATCTGCTTCCATAAAAATTCGATCCAATCCTTTTGAACGCTTAAGCGCTCGTAGGAAGGACATTATCAAAGGTGGTCTTCGCTTTAATCGAAGTAAAGCTGCTAGCAAGCCCAAGTCTGTAACTAGTTCGCCTTTACTAGCTGGCAAAATGAAGAGAAGCGCCAGTTCGGTTGGTATCTCCAGTACCGATGATACCATATTATCAAGAGGAAGAGCTCGAAGACCTAGTGATCCGTATTTAATGCATCATTTGCATGAAGGAAATAATGGGAATAAATGTGCTATTAGTAAGTTTTCAATCTTAGCTGAATCAGATAATAACTTGCTCAGTGTCGAGCAACGATTTGAAGATGCTATGCAATCATTAAAAGCACGCTCACACGGTGGATCGGGTGAGGAGCTAGAAAATAACGAGGTCGCCCTTTCATTCTCAGTTGGTCTATCCAATGGAGCAATAAACGGCCATGATAGTACTAATAATAGTATGGATAAGGAATGTAGGCTCAAAAAAACTACTAGTCAAGCAAGCTTGTCGGCCAAAGAAAAGCAAGAAATTCAAGGTGAAAATATGGAAACGATACAAGAACAACTTCTTGCTACTTGGGATACAGTTATTAAAATGAATGAAAAAATAAGTCTCATGTCGGATGAAATAATTTTAGTAGCGAAAGATATAAAGGATTTAAAGGACATAGTTTCTGCTGAGAAGCAGACCATACTATAGAATGATGTATAGTCCAACCTTGGATATTTTTCTTCACTTTATCGATACTTGTAAATATAAACATAATAATGTTGGATTGATTTCAATTAACTGTGCATGCAACGCTTTGAATATATTCCTAAGCAATCAGCTAATTGAGGTGGTACAGCGAATACCATTTGATTCTATATAAGATGATCGATAGCAATACGTACATGCCATATTTCTGATATGCACTAACTTTAATGATTTTTATTTAAGTAGACCATGTTTGTTTGCCACATTTAGTTAATTTATAATCTTCATACTGACATTTCGATTTTTGATAATTTATCGGTCCTATTTTTCCAAACCTTAGTAAAATTCAACTTGTTCTGCACTACTGTATATATAAAGTAAACTAATTATTAATGATTGATTAACTTGGGATTGTAGGCAAGGGTATAATACACCCTCGATATATATTATGTAAAGGGTGGACAAACTTGCGACTTTCCTGAAAATGAATTAGAGATGATTAATAAAACTCTTTGTCGTCTATCACTGCTTGTTATACGTCATTTGCGAAAGCATAATATACTTGCTTAGTGCACAGAAAGTAGCTTTGAGTAATAGCGTTACTGATTCAAGTCAAACAATAGAAGTCGACTCTCTACAGAAGATACCTGGTAATAGTCAACATGTTCTTCTTTTAATCTATTTAGAAATGCATAATGAATGCATATGCAGCGTAAGCTATTGGAGAATGCAGGATCCTTTATTGGTCAGCATAGTAAAAATTTTTTGACAAATAACGAAACGACCTTCCTGTCATCTTATTATATACATATATATATATATAGAACAGCTTCCCTTCTTAATCATTTAACTATCTCTGTGATCTTCCCATTGCAAGATGTAAATGTCCAAGAGTGATATCTAGCCTATGTACTTCAGTTCAGTAAAAATTTCAATCGTTTAATTCCAAATTTTCTAGATCCTCATCTATGTCATCCATAAATAAATCTTCTTCTATTAATAAGCTTCCACTATTAGCAGTGGCGTTATCGCTACTGCCAGCGACGGCAGCATTTCCATCATCTGTAACGTTGGAGTAACCTGCAGCCTCTCCTAATTTGTTATCATCGCCATCATCAGCAGCGTTTCCTTCCTTACTTTTACTAGCACCTGTAACAGAGGGTTTATTACATTACGACACTGTATTTTTCATAGTTTCAGAGACATCCACGCATGGCAACTCAAAACTGGTTAATCTAGTAAGGATATCATAATGGATTACCCTTTGATGTCGTCTTCTTCGACGTTGGCTCATCATCTGTAGCTGCGGCAAGTAATTCTTCAAAGGTTAAATCAATGTATTTTACGTTACTTGTCTCATCTGTTTCTGCCTTTCGCTCGAAAACTGCCTCTTCTTCGTCATCGTCGGCTTCTTCAACAAGGCTAGGTTGAAATTGAAAAACTTCTCTGCCACTTATCTACAGCGCACCATTAGAGCAAATACAGTATTATAAATTGAGTAAAATAGTACTAACATCTGACATAATTTTTGTTCATGCAACATTTTTTTGATGTTATAAAGGCGATATAACAAGGTAACAGTCACTAACTCCAATGCTTCGTCCGGCTTTTAGTTCGGCTTTTTTCTTCTTCGTATCTGCTTCTTCTTTCTTTCGTTTCGCTTCCAACTAGTATAAGAGATAAAGTGAAGCATTAAATAATATCCATTATACACATCGAAATACTAAGTTGTCGATATTATGTTATGATAAGATCAATTACCCTATTCTTCTTCCAAACTATGAAAGTTTCATACGTAACTTTGGTTAGCTCTGAACCTAGATTCGCCCTCTAAACAGTGTAGTTTAATTGAACTTTATTGTGAGACAGTCATTTTCAACATTGTTGAATTTCACTTTAATTTCACATCAATCATTAATTAGAACGAACCTTTGTTTCTATAAGTTCTTCTAGTGATGTGGTTTCATCTACTTCATCCTTCTTTGAATTTTTTTTAAGCACAAATCCAGGTGGAAGTGCATGTCGATACATACATTTGTTTCCGCCATTAGGGCATGCCCAAAACCAACCATACAGACCTTTTTCAATAGCTTCTAGAAAGTACTTGCAAACCTAACATGTGTATAGTTACCAATTCAATAAGGTAAAAGTCCAACACAGAATTGGGTAATCACTGCGATACATTAGTAGAGTAACAACGTACGATTTCAGTTTTAGGTTTGGCTTTTTCACTACCGTGCTTCTTGTTTACAACCTCCTCTAACTTTTCTTGATCCCATTTGTCCATTGTGTCTATGTGAATCAATATTAAATTTGATAAGGCAATTTTTAAATTGACCATTAGTGATATATTGAAATTATTTGACGCTAAATGATTTTAGAAAATCAGTTTTAATAACCATCTTTTAAGTCGTCTTCATCTCTTGAGTCAATATATACACTCCTTTTCTCAGTTTTTCGATCCAAGGACATATCATGAGAAAATTTGCATTTATCACCTTTACTACAATTTCCTTGCTTGTAAAAGGCACACAAAAGCGACTTTGGGTCTGCTCCTAAGTATTCAAATAGATGGTGATATGATAAGACACCTGATTCATGCTCATCATCCGTCTTGTTGTTCAACCACAACAGGGCAAAAATTGCTAACGCTGTTGCCATAGCTAAAAGATACCTGCAGAAGCTTTTTGACTGACAGGTCTAAATAACTTCTCCATTTCATCTCTTTCTTTTTGTGCTTCGCTTTTCTTTTTCTAATATGGAAACAACAGTTGTTAGCCTATTGCTTTACAGGTATTTTTGAGTTCAACTTTGTAAACTACCTAATACAGCTATTGTATATTATTTCTACAATACTCGCATGACAAGCAGTGACAGAAATTGAATAAAAAGGAGTTGTAAAGAGATTTGGTAATCATGGCAAGTTCTTTCGATCAGAAAAGCCCAAGTCTAGACTATTGATACAATCACTTTGCCATGTTATACTTACTTTATCCTCAAACTTTTGCTGTTCAGCCTGTTCAAGTCATAAAGCACAATATTATATTAGCATTCATCAATCCGTCAATTTAACTGCAGTAATCTAAACATGTCAATAGGTCATTGAACTGTCTGACCTTGTTTGGACCTTGTTGTCCATATTTAACCTATAGATAAGTATACATCAATGGAAGACGCATGTTAATCGAACTTTTGTATGAAAACACATGCAGTATAGTCATGAAGACTCTTCAATTATTATTAGTTTTCAACTGCTCGTATAAAAGTTGGTAGTTTGGTAGTCAACCATTGGATGGATTGAAATCAGTCGCAATGACTTTCCGATTATAATGTCCTGTATCATCTATAACGTCCTATTGATGGTGGTGTACATTAACTTACCTGATTGGATAAGTGCTTAACGTACTCTTGCTGCTTTTTACCTTTTTTATTTTTTAAACCGAACGTTTTGTCCTAGAAGCATATTATACCGTTCATTAGTACATTGTTAACGTTAAATTACGTGTTACTCGATCTATTCCTACGAATGTTTTTAATGCAGATAATGATCGAATCGATTCTAGTGTAGACATTTCCATCATTTCTCAACCGAAATTCTCTACCTATGCCTACAGTTGGATCGAGCTACCTATTGCTCATGGTTAAGATAGTACTTTACGTGCATCTACTCGTATTGAGTTTGATCGATGCCATACTCATGTCCGCTATTAGTAGACTTGCAACCATTTGGTAGATGATTTACATAACTAGTCAAGACTGAAGAGCGATGACGAGTAACTTATTGAATTTAAAGTTGTACACATGGTAGACTAATCGATCGTCAAGCTCGAATTGGAATTATCATGGATGGTCAAGCGATCCATCGATTCTGTAGATGCTACAACACTTCATTGTACAATCCATCAAGACGAGATTGTCGACCGAATTAGTATACCGTAAGCATGATGTTTGCCATTGCTGGTAGGAGACTCGTCTACGTAGTACGCATCATGCGCCCACTTTAACGTAATGTAGTCGTATCTTGTCATCCTATCAAAGTGTCCATTATTGATAAGATATTAAGACGGCTTATCATTTGCTATCGATACTATCATGATAGAATCGATGGCAATCAAGTTATTGGAGTGAAAGGAGAGACCTCGACAATTTTCTCTTTCTTCTTTTGCACGGTTTTCTGACTTGGCGCCGATGCCTTTTTCTTTGGAGGCATAATGGATCAAGTTGTGTTGATGATCTTGGCAAAATGAAAGTTGTCTATGGCGATAGCCTTCAATTCCTACCAGATAATGCTCTATAATGGGAAAGAAGCCAAGCTGAATAGCCACTTTGCACTCTTCTTCGCTGGATATTGGGTTGCCAACGACGATGATGGTGGACAAGTCCTACCTAAAAGAGCCAAATCGGGCATGGGTTGGATCCGATCGGCTTCTACAATGTACAGTACTGCGAGCGGCCACAGTCTTTATTGAGACAAGTCGATCGCATGTTTACAACTGTTGTAACAGACCATCGTCTGAACAGTCACAGTATGGACATGACCGCGGACTTTTCCTTCTGGCTACAAAGTGTACTGGACTGTCATAGACTATTCCCTTTTTCTATGGTACTGTAGAGCCTGAGGCACAAAGTGATGTCACCCCTCGTCCTGCTGTCCTTCCGATTTATACTGTGATGCTTTCCGAAAAAGGGAAAAAAATCTTACTAAAACTAACGTAAAACTACTATCCTTTATAGCAATGTGGAGCTGGAGAGCTAAACTATTTATACAAGTTGATAGAATTACGCTACTCGTAATGCTGATTATAAAATATCCATTTCCAAGACAAAATCGCCTACAGTACAAAGTGAAATTGTTTGCCCAAACTGGTACTGTACACTACTCGATTGCGTTTGGCGATGGACGGAAGGACGCCAGGAAGACGGGTGCCATCATCACCCTACTGTAATGAACAAACTACTGTATACTAGTGTGTATAGTATGACTGGGCGAGATGCCGTAGTCACCATCCTTAGCAAGTGCCACAGACTCGGATGGACGGATATTCTCGGAGCAAGATCCGATAGAGAAGGTGGTAGTGAATGACATCAGACGTATCTTGTGGGTCTGTTTTCTTCATCACTACTACTCATTTCGAAAGATGAATATCATTTTAGAACTGCATTCAACACAATAGGATTCAATAGTGACCAATCTAGTCTCTTCCTACCGACGCCATGACCAAAAGAAGTCATCAACTGTGAATGAGTAAAAAAGCTGTGGCCAAAATTGTCGGCCATTTTTGGTACAGTACACAGTATTACTATCTACTGTACACGCTTGGCCTATATTGCAGTCGATGTGGCTGTCGTTGCTGCAGTCTGTAAGCAATCCATGGAAGGGATGATTGAGGAGTCTTCTACCCTGATTGTACAGTACATACCCTACAGTACCAACACTGTGCACTGTAGTGCTTGAGGACGGTCAGTTTCGCGGCAAAAATGCCCACCATCAAAGCCTCTATGAATCCAAGTGTTTCCCTCTATCACTGATATTACCCCTGGCTGATGATTGCGTAGTCTACCTAACATTTCCACTCATCACGTTTTACATGGGTCGCACACGTGCCATTAGACCGAACCGGACCGGACCGGACCAAACCGCTCCACAAGCCAGCAGACTATAGTACTGACAGCGAAACGTCACACTAGACCTCAACTCAGTACTGCTGACACTGCAATAGGAATACTGCTAGTAGAGCAGAGCTTGTCATTGCTGCGGCCAGTCAAACTAAATAGGAATTGGTTGGCGGACAAGCTGACTGAAATTTATTCACATTCTGCGCAAAGTTGGTGGGTAAGTTGAATAAGAAAGTAGAATAACGTGATGTAGGATGTGGAGATCCTTTAGTATTGGCAGGAAAAGACTCAGGATCTTTCTCCTTCTTCTTGATAGAACAATTGGCATGAATTTTCTACGGGTGAAAATTCATGACATGATTGAAATTCTTTCAATTCACTGCAAAATTCATCTCAGGATGAAAGTTTCTATCAGTGCTTCATGGCTAGACCATGCAATGGAGTCAATACTGTAGACTCTTGTTGAGCCATCCTTGATGATGACTCAACAAGAATGGTAGTCAATCCATTAACAGCGAGATTGCTTGTATCGTCGTCATTGACTGTAGCCATTTGTAGCCATATTAAAATTGCTTCCACCACTGGGTTACTGCGCCATGTGCGAGTCACTCCAGTCTACGTACGTCGTACGGCTCAACGACTCCACTCGATCCAAACGACTGTTGCTAGGATCGCTTTCCTTGCAGTCATTACGGTGGATAGGTTGAATAATAGCGTAGATGGAAGGCTTTAATACGGTCTAAGCTTGTTCTTTCAACTCCAATTTCTTCTATTATCCTTCACAGAAAGCATGGCAGATAGGAAAGGGGAAGAATCGAGTGAAGAAGAGCCTACCATCGCCGAAGATGTCGTTGTCACCAAGTACAAAATGGCTGGTGATATGGCCAATCGTAAGTAGACAAGCTGTATTGACCTTAAAAGATCATATCATTTCGTATCGAAATAAGATTGCACTTGGACGCCAAATCATTCTACTTTGCTACCATCATCCAATTTCGCTACGCTAGCCTAGTGGATTGTACTGGAAAGGAGGCTGTGATGTTCCCATTAGTATATTCAATTCATTGTCATACAGCAGCCGGGAATGATAATCGTCAAGGCATGCTCACCTTGGATATGCTCAATTCTTCAAATATCATACACTAAAGCAAGCTATTCAGCCAGTTGTCTCCATCATCATAACTGGTAGAACCGTTTTACTAGGTTACAATAAATCAGAAGTAGTGATGAAACGATGACACTCGTGGTTGTCTCCATCATCATAACTGGTAGAACCGTTTCAGTAGGTTACAATAAATCAAAAGTGAAACGATTACACTCGTGCTTTTATTGCTTGTGTCTTTTCCGAAATTGTTTCAACATAGTAATCTGCGTAATTCATTAAATATTAATTCTTTCTACATGCAGTCAGAACCATGTCAAATGCAAAGTATCAATAGAAAAGAAAATAGCGGGTTATCCGATTGTCTTAGTAACGGAATGGTGGATTGACATTAAACGTTAAAAGTAATTTGCTTTGAAAATATTCCATGCTGATAGTATGCATTATTCCAATTTGATAGGTATATTAGGCATACTGATCGACAACGCTACTGTTGGTGCCACTGCTAAAAGTTTATGTGAAATGGGAGATAAAATGATTTTGGAAGAGACCAGTAAAGTATACAAGAAGGAGAAAGAGCTCAAGAAGGGTAAGCTGAGCATAATTGTTGACCACACTTTCAAAATACATAGGTGTGTACACGTTACTGGAATAAATAAACAGTCTTAGCTACTAGGTAATGGAAAATAATGGATGACTGTTGAAATCATAGCTAAAATCACGACGTTATAATAAGATTAATTGAAGATAGAGCAGCTTTGAGTTGAATAGTTTACTAAAAATAATTCTGAGAATGCTTTTTCACCTTATTATTGGGTATTGAGTATAATGGAATTGATTAAATGAAAGAAATCGAAAATGATCATCTTTATTTTATTAGGTATTGCTTTCCCTACGTGTGTATCGGTCAACCATTGCATCTGCCATTTTAGTCCCCTTAATAGTGACCCTGAATTAGAATTGAATGATGGAGATGTTGTGAAATTGTAAGTTGATTACTGTGCTAAAGGTCCGTTCATAGGTTGCGGCACGGTACTTTGTCAGCTCATCAGACATGGTCTCATCTTAGCCATAAACTAAGGATTGTCTACGTTCTTTTGACGGGCAAAGTACATCGCCCCATCATATGAACAAGTCTTAAGACAGCAACATAGAAACTGCAAACTTAATATAGTGCTTGTAGTATACGATATATGCTAATTATGTGATAGTGATTACCCTAATTAAAGGGTTGCTATTAGATAAAAAATTGAACATGAACACAATTGCTTGCATCTCCAAAGTGATTTAGGCGTTCATATTGATGGATTTATCGCGGTTGTTGGTCATACAATTGTTGTAGGCTCATCCAAAGTAAGTAAATTGGATCGATACACTAAAATCCATGCAATGTTGTGAACCTGATTTTTGGCGCGTATGACATCATGATAATGTAAATTCTTATCACCGACTATAGGAGAAAAAAGTTTCCGGTCGTAAAGCAGATGTTATCGTGGCTGCTTACACTGCTGCGGAAGCAGCTTTAAGGCTTGTCAAACCTGGCAATGAGGTAATTGACGTTTGCATTGCACAGTAGAAATTGGCCGACGAAATTGCTAGTACTTCATGATTCTGATAACTTTTTGTTTAAAATCGTAGAACCAAGTTGTAACGGACGCAATTCAAAAAGTAGCCGAATCTTTCGAATGTAAGCCTATCGAAGGTATGTACCGTAAAAGAGAATTAAAAATAAACAATTATGAAACTGTTTAAGGATCGTCGATTTTAAAAAGTGTTCTGTAATTCAATTTTAGCAATGCTAGAAAAGTGACACAGATTAACTTGGTAATTGCTTTTAATGTTTCTAATGCAGGAATGATGTCCCATCAATTAAAAAAATATGTTATAGATGGAGAAAAGTCGATAATTCTAAATCCATCGGAAGCTCAAAGGTATTGCTAATTTAAGCTTTGAAAGTACTTTAATATGTAGGAATAGATGCATGCAATATATGTAAAGGCTAATAGACGTATAATCCGTTTTACGTAATATGTAGGAAAGAGCATGAAACCTGTGAGTTTGAAGTAAATGAAGTTTACACTGTTGATGTCCTAATAAGTACTGCTGATGGAAAGGTATATGGATAAAGGATGAATAATATCGCGAAAGAATATATTGTAACGTTTGGATATGATTGATGATTGTTTTAGAGTAAAGAAATGGATAATAGAACAACTGTATATAAAAAAACCAACTTACAGTACAGCCTAAAAATGAAAGCATCAAGAGGTAATAAAGAGTGCTGTTTTATAATAGCAGTTTACGTGTACATACGCAAGCTGCCTGTTACTGGCTCAAGTTATATCACCGTCTTTAAAGTTGATGGAAACGATGAATAATCCTTTGAGCTTTCTCACGATTTCTTGCTTATGAATTTTAGTTTTCTTCAGTGAAGTATCAAACAAATTTACGGCTATGCCTTTTACTCTTAGGTACGTTCTGTAGGGTGTATTTGTTGTAGTAATACTATTTATGTTACTACTGTAGTCGTTCATCTGCTCGATACTATATGATTGCTAGTATTTGAAAGCAATGCATAAAATTGTATTTTCTCAAGTTGTTCAGTTGATGATATTCTATTGGGTGCGGTTTTGATTAGAGCTTTTGACGACGAAACAAAGGCGCGTATGGGTGTCGTAGAATGCGTCAAGCATGGCTTGTTGGAACCGTTCAATGTATTGTGGGAGAAGGAAGGTAGTACTCTTTCTGATAAAATAGTTGTTTTTGTCTGTTGGGTCGGCATGGATTATATGAAGTCAACAACTAATACGACTTTTCATTATTTACGTTTACCACAGGTGACTTTGTCGCTCAGTTTAAATTCACGGTTCTGCTGATGCCTAGTGGGCCAATGAGGTGGTTATAGTTTCCTTTGTATTCGATGATTACATAATTAACATTGCACTGTATTAAGAGAGCTTTCCAATGTACTTCTTAATGATTGAATGTATTTTGTATGCTTGTAGAATTACTGGTGGCACTTTCGATCCAGAAGTGTACGAATCAGAACATGTTGTTAAAGATGAAGAAATCAAGGTATATTTTGTCTACAAATTTAGCTTTATACCACGACTAGGATACTTATATAAACTATTTTATTTCAGTCATTATTATCTCAGTCTGCGAGTCGTAAGGGGAAAAAGAAAAAGAAGAAGGTGAGAATCTTTAAGTTCTACATATAGATTAGACATCGATTTCCATCGCTCCGGTTCGATTTGTTAGGACTCAGAAACATATTAATTGTACACTTCCATATTAGGCTACAAAAGGCGGTAACGCCAGCGAATCCTGAATATCGAATTTGCTGAAAGTGATTGATAGGACATGTGAAGCACAACTTGTCGCATGGCTTTTCAACCTGGTGTTAAAAGCAACGAATTTATTTCATTTTGTAGATGGTATTATTAGTATTATTTGAAATTAGTAAAGTTCTCGTATTGGACCTGTACCACATCTACAAAGATTGCTTTCGAATAAAACTGTAAACAATTCTAACGGGTAGTTGTTGTGTAACCATGCTTGTCTTTTCCTTGTCTTGCTAATGATATAATGAAGTACAATGGTGATCAAAGTTCTGTATGAAGATGATGCACGAAATAGTCGTTTTGTGTTAACAATACTCTAGTTTGATACTTGTTTTGAATCCATGGGCATGCAGTTTTCGACTAGGCCTAGCAAAACTATTTCGTGCATAAACTTGTGATACCTATTGCACTGTACGTATTGAAATGGCCATGATCCATTGTAAAGTGTAAATGGCACTTTTGGGTAGAGAGTAAAACTGTGAGTGTACAGTACAGCTCCCTCCCTAAACATCGTGTGCGAGTTTCTGAGCTACCCTACATGAGAGAAATTTCTGTCTAGATTGGCCAAAGTAGCACGTTTAAGGCAACGGTTTAATAAAGATGATAGAGTGGGAATATCCTTATATAATGCCATCAACTTTCGCCAAATTCTGAATCGATATAGGACGTGGACATGTAGCTCCTCTGCCATGACCACCTACTATCGATAGCACCGCGCACTTTAAATGGCTTTCGATGACAAGAGTTTGCACTCGGTGTTTTAGCGGTGATGGAATGACGTAGTCGTCCTATACACGGACTCTATGGTGGTACTTTATGCAGTGGGTGTGCGCCATACTGTACGGTAGAAAGCGAATTGATAATCAATGGATTGATTACAAATAGATGCGCGCTGTCAAATTAATCGTTAGACTAGCTGGCGCTATTGCCACTTTTCCCTTCAAATCGACGCATAAACTTGCCAAGAAGAGATTGGCCGTGAAAGACAGCAAGGAAAAGCTGCAAGTCCAAGGGTCTACGGTTGGCCGAGTTGTTTTTCTACTAACTATCGCATGCGATGGATTTGATGGAATCAACCGCGTGTACAGCAACGAGTATTCATTCCATTCCATTAAGCATGGAGTTACCATGTGAGCCACAAGTGATCCAGGAGGTAACATGTACAAGTTCTAGCCCCAAAATGATGATGGATGAAAACGATGCACAGGAATGCCACGAGAGCGATTCAGTTGAGTCATTACCTAGTGAAAATAAAGAGAGTGAAATGGACGACAGTAGCCAATTAGCTGTTGATGCCAGCTTAGAGCACGATGAAAGTATGGTGGTGTATCCTTTCGATGGATTTGAGTCCAAATTAGTCAACGTGCTAACTCAAAATCGCTTGACTAGGAAACATCAATCAGTCTGCCTTGCTTGCCAAACGGACTATTCAACATGGTCTAATCTAGCATGGCGCTATCCTAATTTAAAATTAGAATATCAGTATGATATCAAGTTAGGCTACGGTGAAATTTGGTTTCATGCGCCATTGCCTTCAGCTTTATATCGTAAATTGATCAATTACTTTGGCTATACATTAGTCAGTAGAATTTGCCACAAGAATATCTCTCTCAATCGCTTCCGATATTATGGCGTTGGACCTTGCGATATTCTCGTCCATGGACAGCCAGATAAATTGAAAACGAGATGGCCTGATCGAGGTTTCGAACCAATTGGTTTAAAGGTTGGAGTAAATCGAGTTCTACCGCGATCAGTTCGCCCGCATACATTCGAACGTTATGGTACAACACCATTGCCCACCTTAGTCTTGGAAATTGCCTATTCCCTTGAAAACGAAGATAGTTTGATCCAGGAATTAATGAATTGGGTCCATCATTCTTCCGTTCAAATTGCTGTTGGCATTGTGGTCATCAAACCTGATGATGATACTATGATATGGCCAATGAATGCATACGTTGTCAGAAATACCACAAAAGCATTGGAAAAATTTTCAACCTTGGATCCTGCTCATTCCATCATGCAATTCAAGATAGAAGATCTTTTTTATGGAATGGATCTGCCTTTCTGTGATGAGGTAAGCTGTGATCGTCTTCCCTAGAACTACTTTCCTACAGGTCCACAGCGAGTGATAATAACCAACATGTACACAGTACAGTAGAGCGCATTAGTCATAAATATTGGCTACAAAAATCGAACAAGTTATCCTAGGAGAATGCTATGCATCGTTAATCGACTGACTTTGAACGCACTGTGCACGTGAAGACATTTAGAAATTGTAAAACATCAACTACTTTTGAGATTGATTACAAAAAATTCATATCATAAAATAAACTTTACGCGCTATAAAGTAACGCTAATTGCTACGAATTTATTCACAAATGATGAATGTGGTAAAATGTGCGTTAGGATGCGCTAATGAGTAACGTTAATATAATCGCTACAAGTTTACTTGCAAAAGATGAAAATCGAAAACGACCGGCATACGTTGTTCGCTATGGCTAGTCAGTCGCTACGACCTTACTGTAAATACGAGTGTGATTATATCAACTAGTGATGACTAACTGCTACTCACTAATGACAAAAAATGAATGTCAGAAAGCGAACAACAAGCGTTGTTAGCCAGCTGCCACGAGCTGATTCCAAAAATGTAAATACGGCATACTGTTAGTCGACACGAGTCGGATAATAGGATTAGCAGATGACTGAAAAGTATCTGTACTTTATTAACGCAAGCTAAGCATGATAGCAAAATTTTCTTACCGTCGCTTGTGCAAGTTTACTTCAATAATTGAGTCTAATAATAAAGATGCTTTTTAATTATAACACGGTATACATACTTTGCATATAGAAGTATGGACTACGAAAAGGAAGCAAAACTCTCTTGCCTTTCCTTTCTGTAGTCCTTGAGCTAGTATCGTTTTCCACAGCTCGGCTTTGTGCTAATGGATAGTAATAGATCTAAACGTTAGGATAGTTGCGCATGGGTTACTCTTGAAGCTTGAGTCGATAGCGTGATTTCAATTAAAGCTAACATCTCGTCTTGAGCTAGCGATATTGCTAATGATGCTGCAGCTCATGAGTGAACATCAATGATGCCAATTTAGTAATCCATGAATGAAATCATAGGCGCATATATCGATACCTCCTAAGGTGCCTGTTATGACTACTACATAGCATTTGCGGCTCGTAACTGCTAGTAGTATTTAGAATTAATGGGTAATTTGCAGCTGATTGTAACTCATGCAAAAACTTTACTGTAGTTTAACGCTGCAAGTAATGCAAATACAAATGCCTCGTACCCTTTATACTGTATTGGCTTATTAAAGAATAAAATCGAATGGCATTAGGTCTGTATTTGCTATTACTGCAAAGTAAAATGATGAACAGCTAAATGCGGGTTTAGGAGCATTCTATGCGGCAATGGCATGAAGATGGTAGGAGCCGTGGTTGAATAATAAATATTATTACGAGTATTGCTCAACCCTCACTTTAATAAGGAACGAACTTAAAATTACACTTGTATATTGTACAAGGTCAGGTTTAGTTTGAAACTTAATAATCGTTCTCTATGTGTACCTTCAACTTGTCAGATGCTAAAATTATAGTAACTGTTCATATCACAGACTTGAAACTTTAATTTGCTATATAGTTTTTCTATGCAGGTATAGTACTTCAACATGATTAATTAAATCCTCTTCTAAATTTTTTATTGTATTGATCAATGATGATGATTATAGGAGGAAAAAATTGAAATTGACTTAATTCATGATATCCAGCTACTATGTTGTGATAGCATGGAAGATGATGTGATCGTACCACAGCCTCTCAAGAAATTACGTCTGGAATCATTGGATACTTCACCCTCAAGTGCATCTAAATCTGTCCTATCCAGTTGTGATCAATAAATTTCTTTTCTGCCGCCGGTTATGTCATTACTCTCTTCAGTTCAGTAATTGCTTTTGTAGTTTTATATGTAGAAATCAATGGTAGCTTGTAATTATAAATAAAGATAGTCTGTGTAATATTGTTGCAAGCCAATATCAGTCAGGCTGTTACTCCTTTAAGGACATTTTTATTAATTTGACGTTCGAGTTGTATTATCTAATCTAGTTATATCCCATTCAAAGTTGACAAATTTAATGTTCTATTCATTCAGTTAGCATTTTAAATCTTTTATTGCAGACTTAAAATTGGTGATAGTGACAGCAATGATGCTTTAATTCAATGGCCTCACCTTGACGGCAAGAAAAAAAGTTACAGCATGTTAACAAACTTCGTTCATAGCTATAGTTACTTGAATTTCTTATATTTTCTTGTTCTACATTTAATAACAACGATTTGACATCCATTGCACAAGACGTGATGATCACTCTATAGAATAAATAAAAAGAGATGTTGCAAGTATAATTGTGCTATGTAATTACACTTTCAATTTATACGACACTTATTAACATACTAGCTGACAAATAATATTTTCAGTAAGTATGGAAAATAGTTGTCAAAAGTTCAATTTTACTAGCGTTAATGTACAACGACGACGTTAACTCATGGAAGGCAGACATCAAATTAAATTCGACCATAAATACGATCAAATCTTCTTTTAACTATGCACCATTTCAATATTGATTATCGTCATAAGAATCTTTAGAAAGTCGATAAAGGGCTAAAGCAGTAAATTGCATGATAAAATTGTTTAAATAGCAAATTATCCACAAGAATATTTTCAGTATAGGACATAAGCTTATAAATTCGTCTGCAACAATATTATTTCTCTAAAAAAGGAGATCGGTAAGAATTAAAATAGCATTATAAGAATGTAACTACGGAGGTAAAGCTAACATTTGTTCTCTATATCCTGAATGAAATGATAATTGCCCTTGAAAAGAGGATATTTAAAGTTTCAAGAGTATACATACAGTGTACTACTATAAGGACACGCAGATATACGAAAAGCAATTATATTACAGAAGCATGCATTTTAGAGGTAACTTACCTAATGCTAGTAGAACATTTGCTCATTTTTTATAATTTAACGATAATAAAACTTTTCGTATGTTAAATAACTATAGAATATTTGTGTAATCGGTAACTCTAGTATCAGTTAGGCAATAAGCTTTAACATCGATCGAAGGAATAGGTTTGAAGTCAGATCAATTGATACCGTAGTAGATTAAAATTAAGTAGTAGTGGGTGCTTTCCAATTACATTTTCTTCCAGTTTCATAGCATGCAATTAACTTTTGCCTGAAATTACCCATTTTAATAGTATTGGTATATTTATCATACAAATCGAGAGCAGTGACAGCATCTTCAATGCTATCATGAGTTTCCGTCTGAATATTACGATTCAAAAAATACCACGCTAGGAACCGTAGGGACAAATAACGTTGTCGTTCAAGATGGTATATTTCCACCGTATCGATAACTTGCTCATTAGGTACCTATTTTGACATTAGGATAGGCGGCATTTGATATAATTTTAATACTACATACATGAACTATTAGTTATGGAAGTGAACGCTTTTAATTACAACGCCTGATCAACTTACTTTAATATTGATAACCCTAAAATCTTTACGCAAGCCATGTCCAACAAATATTACACCTCTATCTATGAGACAGAGTAATTTTCGATAGCTCGCCTTCAAAGTGGTGAGATACTTGGTTGATACCATCGGATCTAAGTCTCCAGGGCGAATACCAGAAAATTCAGTGAGGTAATCGACAACCTGTGGAGAAAATGTTGGCAATAAGCTATGATTGCTACCGGAATAAATCTGATATAATATACAATAAATGTTCAGAAAATCATCGATATCGTAATAATTAAGATATTTATAGTAATCTATTTTTGGTATCATAGGTGCATTATGGAGAACTTTTAACGAAATGTATTAGTATCAATAAATAACATGACAAACCTGTTCGCTTGTTGAAATATAATCATCAATAAAAGCTGTTCCACGTTTCGGTCCTGATCCGTAAATGACCGAAATTCTAGCTACACTCATTTGACTTGGTTTTATAGTTGATCTTGTACCATCAGAATGAATTTCAGCTTCGTCCTATCCATACGTAATAAGCAATTTTTTATTGATGTTTTAAAGTAATTATCAGTGACTATATATGATAACTAGTAATAAAATTAGGAAAATTATCATTCGTAATGTCTACATTAATGTTGACCTGATTTAATGATACAAATTCAGTATCAAGGCCGACGAGATCTCCTTTGCCTGGTAGGTCTTCCTCTAGCGGCGTTACAAACGAAGACGTGCTGATTTCGGGATTTTTATTTAGTGATTTATCCGCAAGGATGATCTGAGGGTCGTCACGTAGGTGTACTAATTGTAAAATTAAAGGGAAATTTGCGACTTTGAGTTAAGTAAGAAGAATTTTCACAGAAAAATTGATCCATATTTTACCTCCACCTTCGAAATTTTGAAATACGCTAGCTTTAATAAAATATAAAATACAAGGTATTTGCCAATCAAGACTAAAGCTTGAGGAATCGACCTAATCAATGGTGAATAATTATCCAGGTCAGGAATTGTTAATTATTCGTTATTGAATTGACTTGCAAAATGAAAATATTTGATACCGGCGGGATAGGCGTGATAGAGAAATCATTGATGAGATACCAAGTCGTGTGCCGTACGCCCTAATGCAGCAGAGGAGAGTTTAACTT